CGCGCGCACGCACACACACACACACACACACACACACACACACACACACACACACACCCTCTTTCCTCACACATTGAGTCAGAATAAACTTTTTGTCTTTGTTACTGTTCTATTGCTCTACTGAATCGGGGCTCAGGGCTTGCAGTTCATGGCCCCACTTCAGGGACCACCCAGCAGGCAGACAGGCACAGTGCTGGAGGTGAGTCTAAGAGCCTGGCATGGAATTCTGAAACCTCAAAGCTCACCACCAGTGACACACCTCCTCCAACATGGCCACATCTCCTCCAGCAAGGCCATACCCCCTAATCCTTCCAAAACAGTTCATTCAAATATGTGAGCCTATGGAGCCATTCACATTCATACCACCATAGCAGCTCTTTTCCTAGTTATTTGTTTCATGACAACTACTTATTAATTTAAGAAGCTTGGACACACCAGGCGGTGGTGGCACACACCTCACACCTTTAACCCCAGCACTTGGGAGGCAGAGGCAGGCAGATCTCTGCATTTGAGGCTAGCCTAATTTACAGAGCAAGTTCCAGGACAGCTTGGGCTGTTATACAGAGAAACCTTGTCTTGAAAAACAAAACAAAAAAAAATTTTTTTTGAGAAGGGAGAGAGGGAGATGGGGGGAGGAGGGAGGAAGAGAGGGAGGGAGGGGGGAAAAGAGGGAGGGAGGGAGAGAGAAAGAGAGAGAGAGAGAGAGAGAGAGAGAGAGAGAGAGAGAGAGAGAGAGAGAGAGAGAGAAGAGACTTTGATACATCTCAAAGCTTAAGGACCTAAAGAACCTCAAGCTCTTTCCATGTCACTTATCAGCTGTGAGGTCAGCTCTGCATCTTCTATGCTCCAAGCACTCTACACTTCCAGTGGGTTGTTTTTAAGCAATTCCCAGGTATAATATCACTTCATCCAATAAGCACTGTATCTCTAAAACTAGGGCCTTAAAAGACAACCACAAAAGCATTATTATATCTAAAAAAATTTTTAAATATGTTACTTTTTCAAAAAGAAAATGCTCAGACGGCATTACTGCCTGGGCAGCTCCTTGCATCATTCTACTGAGGAGGCCCAACAGCACGGCGGCCCTCAGGGCACAAGAGTAACTAACTGGCAATAGTGACTACCTCTGTTTATCAGGGTTTTGAAGTTTACCTGTTGAGAACTGCTTCCTTGTCTCCCAGACGACTTTTAATTTTACTTGTCAGATAGTCCAAAAACAGTGTCCAGATATCCAAACAAGAGAAGTAACCTTCATGAGTAGGCTATGATACAAAAGAAATCCAGACAATGAAATTACTTAATGCAACTGTTGTGCTTAGAAACACATACACCAGAACGGCAAAACCACAGGCCTACAGTCCCTTCTTCATAACCTCCACTAAGGATTCTTGAGTCCATCTTCACCAGTTGACCCTAGTAAATCTAACCAGACAAGGGCACCAAGGGACACCACATGAGGGAACTGCTCAGGGTTTACAGAATGTGCCAAGGAACCCCATCTGAGCCTGTGTGGAGGGCTCCCACAAACCGCCCACTCTACATTGACTTTTGAGAAGGACGCTTGCACTCTAGAGGAAATGTTCAAGGTAATCAACAGAAGCAGGACCATTGCTGTCTTTTCTACTGCAAACTCACAAAAGCAAACTGAAGTCAGAGGAAAGAGTCCACACATCTGACTGTAAGGAAAATAACAATGGCAGGTCTTTCTACACAGAAGACTGAAAAGGAACTGCTGAGTTATCACTCCAGGGTATTATGCATTTGCAAAATTCAGCTGTCAAATAGGCCAACAGCAACAGCCAGGAGCTGACTAAAACAGCAAGAGAAAAGCAAAGTCTCTGTGGGGCCCTGGTACCTGGCCAGTCATCCTTGGCATATTTATTAAAAGCTTTGAGATTCTATTTGTGCAAAATCTAGGCACTATGGCTCTTTCTTTCCTTCTACTAATTGACCACCTCACCATGCCCCATGTTTGTGGGAGGAGGTTTCGTAGTACAGGCCCATAATCCCAGCTGAAGAAGGATCTCAAGTTCAAACCTCACTGAGCCAAAAAGTAAGTTCGAGGTCAGCCAGGGCAACATAACCAGACCCTGTCACAAAATGGAAAATGAAATTAGAACTTGGACTGGGGTGGGGGGTTGGTTGGCAAAATATTTTCATTCCATATACAAGGCCTTGGGTTTGGTTCCTAGCACACCCTAAATCAGGCATCATGACACACTCCTATAATTCTAGCGCTCTAGAGGTAGATCAGGAGGACCAGGAAGGACTTCAAGGTCAGCCTCCAATACACAGCAAGTTCAAGGACAGCCTGAGATACACAATCCTTTCTAAAAAAAGAAAATGCATCACAAAAGAAAAAGAAAAAGAAAAAGAAAAAGAAGAAAGGGTTCGGGATGTAATTCATGCCTGTTGCTAGCATGTGTGGGGCCCTAAGATGTAAAAGTGATGGCCATGCAAGCCTGATCGACTGAACTCATTCCTCAGATCCCATGGTGGAAGAAGAA